CTTGTCACCTAATTTCCCTTGACCGCCACTTACGCCACCTGACTTGGCTTTTGTCAGGAGCAGGGACCCCTTCTGACTCATGTTGGGATTTCTAGAACCCACATGTGTCTGGCATGTGTATAGTAAGTGCACAGTCTAAGTGCTTTCTGAATGACTGGGTCCAAGGTGACCGCCTGCTCTCTCCTGGTCCTGGTGAGCCTGTCATAAGAAGAGGTCATCAGACCCACTGACTGGGACAAAGTGACAAGGGTATGCCCACTAATACCTCTAGGTGCTGGGGCCTTAGGACCTCTGCTGCCCTCCAGGGTGAGCCAGGTCCACTTTCTGATAGGAACCCTTGCTAGGGGCCAGGTAACCACCCCTTAGCCTTAAGAAAATTCCAGCAGGCAGCAGGGGCAGAGGTCATGGCAGGTCAGTTATACACAGGGGACAGAGCGGTACAGAGCTCTGGTGCCCAGCATCCCAGGCTAATACTGCCCATGGGTGAAGGTGAAGGGCCCAGGGTCTCCTACCCCCAAAGCCAGGCTGACTGGCTCTGCTCCTACCTGCTCTTCCCTCAACTCACCAAAATAGCTCATTTATTCTCCCCTTCCCCCACTCCACACCCCACCCCAAATGTGACAATCAGAAACATCTCAGCATTCAGAGACAACATGTTCAGAGACAAATGTTGGTCTGTTCAGAATAGGAGAAGAAAACAAACCCAAGAGGAAACTGGGAGGCTGCCCTGAGGGCAGAGTCTACAGGGAGGGAGGCCTGCAGCCTTCAGCCTGGCCCCTTCCTGCACTTCAGGAACGGGGTGGAGGGGCTGCCCAAGGCAGGCTGGCACTGCCCTCCTGGGGAGCTCAGAAAGCCAGGGTACTGCCTTCCTGGGCTGGGGTTCCTGACTCACCCTAGCTCAGAGAGCACAGCATCAGTGAGTCCTGGCCCTCACTCTAAAGCTTGTCATGACCACTGACCTGTCCCCCAGGCAATGCCCAGACCAGAGAAGCCAGGGAACTTCCAAAGGGGGCGGGCAGGAATGGAGCTCTACACCTTTCCTAGAAGGCCTTGGTTTCATGCTCTGCCTGGGCCAGGGAACCTCCTCTAGTCTTTTCTCCTAACCACACCTCCCTTCATTTTTCCTAGGGAAATCCCACAGCAAGAAGAGAGGTTAGACTTGAGTAACTCTAGGGAGTGAGAAGTAAAGGGAGAGTTTAGAGCAGAGTGGAAGCAGCAGCTCTCTAGTGAGGGGCCACCCTCTGGAAGCCAGAGGTCCTCTCTGGGAAGGAGCCAGAGGCCACAGGAAGAGCACGGACAGACTCAGGGAACCTGGGTTTGGATCCTAGTACTACCATTACGTGGTGCGACCTCAAGCAAGCCCCATCAGGCCTGTTTCCTCATCTGTATACTGACATGCAGATGTGAACAACCCCCGCCTCACCTAGGCCAAGCACAGGCCAAGCCTCCTACATAGTAACTGACACGTAACAAAGGGGATGAGCCAGCTGGAGCTGCATTCTTGGTGTAGGGAGTTCCTGGGGTCCCCACCTCTACTCAGAAGGGAAACATCACAGGAAAAATGGGAAACATCAGAGGAAAAATGCACTGATTTAGCCAAAGGAGAGGAACTGTAACCTTTAATAAGGCTGACAGCTGAGCTAAAGCCAGCCCTGCCCCAGAGACCTTGGAGACTAGAGTAGCGGAAGGGCGACCTGGGCCCATTCTTCAGGCCTCTTGTCTGCTTTCAGAAGAGAAGGTGCAGGATTCTACAGATTTGGATGCTGCCAAACCTCCACTGGGCCCCTTCAGGCTGTAAAGGCACCCTGGCGAGCCTTCGCCTGCCCTGGGCAGCAGGCAGTGGGCAGGTAAGGACAGGACCAGTCTGTTCCTTGTGCCAGTTCCCAGCTCAGGCCACAGAAACAGAACCACCAGCACCAGTCGCCCATGGGCCCAGCCAGTTAATGGAGCAGGGTGAGCATCCCGGCCCAGGAGCCTGCCTGAGTAGAACAGCTCCTTGGGCCAGACGTGTAGCTAGGCAACAGGCTCTCATAATCAGCTCAGTTCACTTTCCATTTGTATCATTTTGCTCCTGTCATAATGCACTACTCAAATGACCAGGCTGCTGTGTCAGAAAGGAGGCCTCAGGGCAGATCACTGCTCCTCTGCCCCGCTTCGCCCACTGCCCCACAGTGCTGCAGGCCCTTCCAGGGAGGAGGCACCTGTGAGCGAGGGAAGGTAGCACACATACCTGGGGGAACAGGGCTAGGAAGGAAGGGACAGGGTGACTAGCCAGGGACAAATGGAGGGGTGAAAGTGCAGCCCCAGAACTCCCCATATGGCATATAGTTTCAGGGCTGGAGAGTAATAGAATAAGTCTTCTTTCTCACATCTCCAACTGCCCCTGGGTTTTCTGATGCCATCCACAGGAGGTACAGAACCTCAGAAGGACACCTGTCAGGCCAGAGTAAGAAACAAGCTCTCTGTCTCAACAGGAGCCTTGTTCAGTGGAAAGAACGTGTTGTAATCACAAGAGCAAAGGCTTAGGAGTCAGGGACTCTGGCTTTGATTCAAAGCCCGGCCACTATCTGGCTGTGTGATCTCGGGCAAGTTGTTTACCTTCTCACAGCCTCAATCTATTAAACGGGGATAATCATCAGGTTTTAGGATTACTGGGAGGATTAGAGATTAATGTAAAGTATATAGAGCAATGTGTTTGTCTGGGGTGCTCAATAATGAGCAATTATTCATTAATTTTTAAAAATTATGTATTACCACTTGTATGTCCCGGGAGCAGGCGAGGGCTCACCTTTGCCTGTGCTCCTCAGCAGGAGGCAAGTCCTCTTTTTGGGCACGTGCTGGCCAGAGTTCCATCCAGATATTCACATCAGGATTAAGAACCAGAAGGCTGGAAACTAGGGGTGGTTTCCTGGCTCTGCTGTTAGTTCAAGTCTTTGGCAAGAAACTTAATGTCTCTGCATGCTGGTTTTCTCAATGTTTAAATGGAAGAATTAACCCTGCCCCATCACAAACTTCAAGACCTCAACTGGAATGCCTGGGCTGACGTGCTTCCAGGTCAAAGGGGCTTGGGTTCCTGGAAGACTTCAAGGGGCAGGCCAAGCTCTGAGCTTACTCAAAGAGGCCCCCTGACTTGGTCATTCAACAGTGAGTTAGGGAGAAAATAAACTCAATGATACATAAACTCAATGATACGTGGGCTGCCACTTGGAATTCCAGGAGGGAAGAAGAGCAGGTGAAAAACCCTCAGAAATCCTAGAATGCTTTGAAATAGGGCCTAGCTCCCCTAACCACCTCATCTCATCCCTGCTTCTCTAGTCCCCTTTCTCCATTCCTATCTCTATCTCTCCTCCCCTACCCCCAACTTTGAAAGAGTCTGAATGATGGGTGCCTGTCTCTCTCCTGTAATGCAGACAGCCAAGTGCTAACGCTAGCAAGGTTAGTGATCTACATGAGAAGCCCACAGAACTCACAGCAGACTCAGTCCAGGGGCATCACTGTGCCCTCACCTTCTGAGTCGGTCTCAGGGCTGCAAGGAAAGAAATCCAGGCAGCTCCCTCTAGTTTTGTTCTCATTCCTGAGAAAGGTCCCTGCCTTCTTGTGGTTGCCTGCAGCCCCAGCCTGGTACGCCATGGCCCCTGAGACCTCTGCTCCTCCCTTCTCTTCCAGGCAGAAGATGCATCTGCCCTGGCCTGGCATTTATGCCAGCCTGGCTTTTCCCTGCAGGCCTGTTCCTCAATTCCCTACACTGCCTTCTTCTGTGACTAGGAAGAAGCCCAGCACAGGGGTGCTGGGAAAGGGAGGGTGCTCTGAGACTCATTAACATGGCAATTTGGGGTGCCAGAGGAACCAACCAGGTTTCACAGCAAGCAGCAGTCCCCAGACCCAACAAGTTACATTGCTCTTTCCTGTCTCCCAGACAGGCCCCAGCCAGGCTTTAGACTGCTGACCATAAGATCATACACCAGCCCCCAGAGCTTTCCTTCTTTAAAGAATCTAAAGTCATCCTTCAGGAATTTTTTTTTTTTTTTTAGCTGTTCAAGCATAATGGGATGAGTATCTCCCCCATTCCCTTCTTCCACCCAAAAGGATTAGGGAAACTGGATTTACCTGGGGAGGAGGTGGTAGGTAGAGATTAGGTCTTGCCTAAATCAATCCGTGCTGCCACCTTCCCCCATACACCCATTTCAAGCGGTAACCTGAACAAGGGCTTTCTGGAAAGACTGTGCTGCAGCAGAAAGAAAAGAAGCGGCAGCAAAAATCTGGTATCATCACCAGGAAGCCTGTGGCTGGCCACTGGCCAAGGGAGCCTGCAGGACCTAGAACATCAGCCCCTTCCTGTTTAATTCTGCTCTCACTCAGCTGAGGCCAGGACATCCCAGGTGTGCAGGAAGCCTTGGGGGCATGGCATGCTCCCTGGGAGAAAGAAGGCCTGGAAAGGAGGCTGAATTGTGGTCTCAGCTTTGCTTCTTATGAGCTGAAGATACTGAAGCCTATGTCCCCCTCTCTGAAGTGCATAGTTGTGAGCACACTGAGCTGCTGGGAGGATGTAAATGAGGTGGCAGGGCATGGAAGCATCTAACAAAACCCACCCCAGTTTACTTCCTCTCAACCCTGCCCCCAGCAGAAGGCCAAATTCCAGCTCTCCAGGACTGTAGTCCTGTGCGGAGTAGAGGGCAGCCGAAGATAGGGCGGCCTGTGCAGACCAAAGAAGTGGGTGGAGGAGCTGAGCTGGGCACCCCACTCACTGGAGGGGATGCGGCAAAGCAGGCAGCTGGGACTAGGTCCAAGTAGTAAGTCAAGTGTGTGCAATCTCCTGATGGAGCGTGCAGGGGACAGGGTAGGAGTGTGTAATTTTCCTCCGGGCCACGGAGCGGGTTGAGAGGAAGGCGGGAACAACCAGAGGTGGTAAGTCGGTCCCTGCTCCTCCCTGTCCCTACCCACCACCACCACCAGGGACCCCATGCAGACGCGAGGGGGAGACCCGGGCTCCTGCCACTCACCCTAGCTGCCCGGGAGGAGTAGGGATCCTCGAAGAGCGCCCACATGCGGGGCTGCCAGCCGCGGCAGCCCCCAGACCCGGCGCCATGGCCTGCGCCTCCCTCGTGGGGGCCCAGTCGTTGCAGGGCCAGCTCCCGCTCATCGTCGCCGGCCTCTTCGCCGGGCCCCGCGCCGCTGCCGCCTCCGTCCGGGCTCTCGAAGATGTCGAGCGCCTCCTCGGCGTCGCGGTGCTGCCGGTAGGTCATCCAGCAGCAGGGCTCCACGTCGGTCTCGTCGATGCCCCAGAAGGTGAGCTCCTCCTCGAAGAGCGGCCCGCACACATCGGCGGGGCAGTGCAGCTTGCCGGTGCGGTAGTAGTTGAGCACGTAGGCAAAGACGCCCGGGTGCCTGTCGAAGAAGAACTCGCAGCCCCCGCCGCCGCTGCTGCCTGCACCGCCGCCATCGGTCTCCGGCCGGCCCCCGCCGTCGGGGTCGGCCAGCCACGCGAGGCGGGTTCCCGGTAGGGTGCGCAGGGTACTGCGGTAGGTCTCATGTCGCGTGCCGCCCACGTTGATGATGATCTTCTCCGACGCCTCGCCCTTGGCCATCTCCTCCTTCAGACATGTTTTGGACGGAGGCTTGTTCCCCGACTTGCGCCCGCGGTAGGAGGAGACACACACCGAGCTGATCATAAGAAGCGCTGCGGGGCTCCGGCTTGGGGCGGCCGCTGCCCTCCAAACACCCTTCCCGAGGAGGTAGCGTCAGACGGGGGAGGGGAGGAGACGAGGAGGAGGCAGGAGGCGGCGGCGGTCCCCTCTGCGGCGTGGCCCTGCCCCTGCCTACTCCCCCGGGACGTGGAGCGGGAGGAGTTGGGTTTCTCCGGTGCACAGGTGGTTGGGGTTAGGGTAGGAAGCGCCGGAGAGAGGGAGGCGGAGAGAGGGAGGACCCAGGGAGGTAGAAGCAGGCACACACGCGGTCCCCCGCTAGGACGGGACACACAGACGCTCTGGGCCGGAGACACGCCCCCGCTTCACCCCTACCAAAGACGAGGAAGCGCACAGTCCGAGCGCACCGTGAGGGTCCGGGGCGCGCGCGCTCACACTCACACGGGCCACCCTCCGGCTCCCAGACCGCACCAAGCCCCGGAGCAGCCGGCTTCCCTGCAGCGGCAGCAACGCAGCAGCAACAAGTCCTCCGAGCGGCTGCCGGGACCGGGCCGACGCTCTCACGGCAGCCGGAGCTCCGCGGGCCCGGGCTGCGTGCGGTCAATACCAGGCGGCGGCGGCGGCATGTGGCCTCTTCCCCCCATTCATAAATCCAGCGCCGGGCGAGGAAGACGGGCGGGGCAGAGCAGAACGCGGCGGCCGGGCTGGCGGAGGCTGCTCAGGGAGAGGCGGCAGCTGGAAAACAAGCGCACCCGCAGGAGCGAGTCTCGGGTCCTGCGTCCGCGGCTGGGAGCTGCGCCGGACCGGGCGCAGCGCTGCGGGGGCCGCGCTGGGGCGGGGGGGCCTCAGACGGGGCGTCCTGCGCTGCGCCGAGCCTGGGGGGCGGGGCCGCTCGGGAGAGCGGGGCTCTGGGCACTGGCGAAGGAGCACCCGGGGCGGCGGCCAAGTGGCCAAGGACACCTGCAGGCTTCCCGGGCCGCGCGGAAAGGGAGCTTCAGCGCAACGCCCCGGCGCCGGGCTCCTGCGATCTGGCGGCGCCGGGAGCCACGCCATTTACGCGTCTCCCCATCTCCGGGCGGGGCGCCGGCCTTCGCAAGCGCGCGGCAGGAGGCGGGCGCGAGGTGGCATAGGGGACGGGGCGCCTCGGCGCCGGTGGGCTGGGGCCCGGGGGGCTCTAGCTCAGCCTCCGGCAGCTGCCGCCACGCTCCAGTGGCGCCTTTTCCTCCAGGGCCCCGCCTCACCGAGGCGCGCCCTCCGTGGGGCGGGGTGGGCGGGGCGCGGCGCGGCGCGGGGCTGACCCGGCTCGCTGCAGGCCCCGGCGACCCAGGGCAGCCTTCCTCCCGGGAGCCGAGGCCCGCCAAGGCGCGTCACCTCCTCGCCGCCAGTGCCCAGCTCAGCGCACCGCCCCTGCAAGCCTCCGCCGGCAGCCCCTCCCGCCCCTCTCGGCCGTGCTCCCCGCCTCCCCCCGGCCCGCAGCTCCTCCCACTGCAGCCCGCGATACAGGAGCGCTCCCGACCCCTGACCTCTAACCTCCGCCGGTCTCTTCTTGCTGCGTCCGTCGCCCCCTCCTCGCCAAGCTGGTTGCATGTTTCACTGCGGCTGACGGAAGACCAAGGAAGAAAGAGGGTAGAGACGCTGTCGCGAGGATCAGGCTGCTCTTTCCTTTCCCAGGCATCGTGTTGGGGCCTTCTGAGCACCCCGCCCCGCATCCTGCGCCTTGGAGACCCATCGGAGTCCAAGACACCCATGGTCTTGATGCTCTCCGCCTCTGTCCCAGCCACCACAGCCTCTGCGATGGAATGGGGGACGTGGTGGCCTTGGGCAGAGAAGCGCCTCTTGGGCCGCATGGAAGGAAACCGTAGCTCTGGCTCTGTTCGTAGCGAAACGTGTTATGGATGTGGGCTGGGTGGGTGGCCTTGAAAGGCCATGAATTAAAGCTTTTGCTCGTCATTGCTCTGGGGGACAATGGAAGTGCCTGTGTTCTACCTCGTGACCCCTCCTGCTTCTACTCTTATTCCACCCATTGCAATTTGCCTGTGTATATTTCTCCTCTCCCCTCCCTAACCCTGAGCTCCTACAGGCGGCATTGTGTTTTTCCATCTTGGTAGCTCCCACCGTGCCTGCCTCTGAGAACCTGTTTGCTAAGTGATACCCAAAACATTAGGCACCAACTGGATTTTACTGGCCCTATCCCAAGAGCAACTTCCAGATGCATTTGTTTTTGTTAAGTCCAGAACCTATTTTACATCTTCATATTAATCCCCATTGGTTTTTTTTTTTTCTTTTTTACAGCTTCAGGCAGCCTCCATGCTTGTCTGGATGACGTCAGGAGATCTTGAGGTGGAAATGCAAGGTGAATGACACACCTGCCCTAGACACCTGTCACCATCTCATTTCCCATTTTTGGATCAGGCAGTACCTAGCTCAACTGGGAAAAACAAGACAAGGGTCTATGTGTGCTCTCAGGAAAGGTTAAAAGCCCAGTGCCAATGCAAGGGAGTTTTACAAGCAAGTCTCTTTATTAATGAGGCCAGAAAACCAAAATGACAATGATCTTTGATGATCTGTACTGATATGCAGGGGACATGAGTTAATTAGAAACACACATTTACTGGCACCTGCTTTGTGCCCAGTCCCTGCTCCTCAAAATGATATTTATATTTCAGAGTTTAGCTGGCTTCGAGTTTGCTGCTGTGAAAAGAAATATCCCAAGTGTGACTGGGAAGAGAAGACCCGGGACAGGCCAGAAGCTGGAGTGAGGAAGAAGGAACCACAGAATATTAAAAAATCATCTGTAATGAGTAACTTTCAAGTCCTATCCAGTCCGTGTCCTGGCAAAGTCTCTCAGAGTCTCTCTCCTGCTTTCTATTCATCAGGATGACTGAACTCAGTCATAGTAAGAAAGGGAGTATAGTGGGCCGGGGAAAAAAACCCGTAGTATCCCATCCGCGATTGACTTATTCACTAACTGAATACTTACTGAATACCTATGATATGCCAGAAGCAGTTCCAGGCACTGGAAATACATCAGTAAATAAAACAGCCACTTGCCCTAGTAAATCTGCCCAACTGGTGCTTCCATTCTACAGTGCTTGTGGATGGTGATGAGCACCTGGGGAGATGGGTAGAGGGAGAAAGCTGCCAGGGAAAAAGACCAGGAGGGAAGGGAGGGAGATCAGAAAGTTGGGGTGCGGACATGGGAACCAGGAAGAGCTGACAAAACACAGGGCCCAGCCTGGGAGAGGCAGCTGGGTAAAGGTGAATGGGACAGGCCCCGTGCTCAGTGCAGTGACCAGCTCTGGAGACAGGAGACAGGAGCTTAGTTAGCCTCAGTCCCAGGCTTCAAGAGAGTGCCTCACCCTTCCTGAAGGTTTTATTCTAGAGCTCTGAGCTCACCTGTTACCTGTGCCTTTCTGGGGAGTTGATATGCTGCAGTTAGCACATGGGACTTGTCCCCATCATTTCTTTGCATGAGGTCTTGGTGTTCTCTCAAAACGTGGGGCACGGGAAGGATAGGAGAGCTCCCTGCCCAGCCCTCTGGCACAACCTACCATGGATGGGAGGGTGCTGCCCCCTGGTGGTGCTAAGACGTCCTGGCTCCGGACCTGGCCCTGGGATCTAGGGTATGATGTGGGCAGATGGACATGCGGCTGATTCTGGGCTTCTTTTTGATTCCAGGACCTCAGGTACTTCTCCCAGCCTAACTCTGCCACTGGGACTCTCCTACTCCCTCCCTTCTTTATTCTTCCAAGACCTTGATACCTGACAGACTTAAGCAAGACCACAAATCAGCCACTATTGGAAATTCCTAGTTCCCCAAGCTTCTTTCTCCCATTTTCACCTTTCCTCTGCTGTCCTCTCCTGGGTGCCCTGGTTTCTTCAGGCTGTCAGGGAAGAGAGCCTGTCTGAGAGCCAGTTCACAGAAGGTGTCAGCGACAGTGGGTTTCCCTCATCAGGAGTGAGGGTGTGGCGAAAGAACAGAAAGAAAGGGCCATGGGAGATTACAGAGGGGCACCGATGGGGGCTGTCAAGCACCTGCACCCTTTCCAGGCCTGCCTGCCCCAATAAGGTCCTCACGTTCTGAATGCTGAGGCTGACCCTGTCCGTGGGAAGCTGAGAGCCTGGAGTCAGCCATTCACCCTTCCCCTTTCCCCACTCAGGCTTTGTATGGGCTCAGCCTCTTTAGGATGACTGCAGCCATCCAATCTCCTCTCCATCTTCCCTCTTTGCAACCCCTTTGTTTTGAGGGGCTCCAGGCCAAGGCAAGGCTATCCACTTTCCCTTTTTGGCATTCTGGCTCCTGCCAGGGACTGACCCTCCTCCTTCAGGTCCAGGCCAAGGAGCCAGCATCGTTTCCCAGCATGCCCCGTTCTCTCCCAGCCTGGAAAATTGAATTGCTTTATCAGACTCATTAGAGGGTGATAGGGCCTCCCTGCTCATGGGGGAACAAGAGAAGGGAGGGCAAGAGCAGGTTGGCAGCCTCCTGTCTGCATCTCAGCTCATTTCACCCTGCCTCCCCCCACCCCAAGCAGCCTACAGACACTTGCCTCTGGGGAGAACCTAGCCCTAGTGATTCAGGTCTTGTGAAGGTCAGTAGAATGGCTCTGCCTCAGGACTGAAAGCAGGGTTCGGTTGCTATGATAATCCCAGTGAAGTTGTGTCTGGGGTTCAAAGGCAGCCTTTGAGGGCCTAGCTCTTAAAGAGAAGAGAGCAGGCGCTCAGGCCTGGCCAGGGTTCAGGGCCTCATATGCTATGGACCTGGAGTCATAGGGTTGGAGGGGACCTGAATGTTAGCTCAGGGACACACTCCCCCCTCTTAGGGATGTCAGGCCTAAGCAGCAGCAGTGAACTCTGAGAGGCTGAACTAGGGCTGGGGTTGGATCAAGGACAGAGAATGATGTTGGGGGCCATGAGCTGACTGGACCCTAGAGGCCTCCTTGTTTAAGGCTGCTGGGCTGGGAACTTGGCCTGCATCCAGAGAGCACCCCCAAAACACACACACACACACACACACACACACACACACACACACGCCCAGGATCCGGCTGGCAAGACTTCTCGACACTTAGCATTTCTCAGCCTGCATCCAGAGAGCATCCCCCCGCAAGACACACACACACACACACACACACACACACACACACACACGGTAGCCCAGGGTCCAGCTGGCAAGACTCCTGACACTTGGCATTTCTCCATCTAAAAAAGTACAGATTCCTCCCACCTGGGCTAAGTTCCAGAAAAACTGGTTCATTCCATTAGAGTAGTTAATTAGTCCTGATGGGCTCAGTCCCCTCCAGCAATGTCCTGGGGAAAGGGGAAGCAGCTGTCTGGAGAGACAGGCCAAACTCTGGTTCCTCTTGGGTGCTCCTGAAGTCCAGGGATTCTTCCCTGCTTGGGTCAGCCCTGGGCAGAATGGAGGGACCTAGAACCCAGGCAGCTCAGAGCCAGGGACAGAGGGTGGATCCCCGCTGAGCCTTTCTGCACCACAGCCAGCACTGTGCCTGGCATGGATCAATCTTCGTAAGGGTTTGTGGCTGAATAACAGGCATAGTTTTCTGCTGTCTCAAAGGTTTCTTTCCTCCTAAGATGATGTAAATAAAGAATGCAATTAGCCAGTCGTGATGTGCCTGTAGTCCCAGCTACTTGGGAGGCTGAGGCAGGAGAGTCGCTTGAACCCAGGAGGTGGAGGTTGCCGTGAGCTGAGATGGCGCCACTGCATCCCAGCTTGGGCAACAGAGTGAGACTTTGTCTCAAAAAAAAAAAAAAAAAAAAAAGCAGAGTGCCTGGGCACCAGTCAGTGTGTCAGTGGGGGAAACACCCAAGTCAGATTGTGACTGCCTCTTCAAGGCAAGGACTCTTGCCTGGTCCTTTGTATATTCCCAGTGCTTAGCACAGTCCCAGGCACTCAGAATACCTGATTCATACTCGGCGCATGGAATTAATGAGGCAGGGGGTGGGAAGGAGTCCTCCCTGTCAGTTTCTGGCTGTGTGGCTGAGTGCATAGATTGGGAGTCAAGAAACCCAGGCGTTGGCCCCAGTCTTCCCCTTGTTTGGTTGTGGGAATTCTGGTTAAATGTCTTTTCTCTTTTGAGCCTCAGTTTCCCCCATTGTTATACAAGGAGGTTTGGCCAGATAATTACTAAGGTTCATGTTACAGTTACTATCGTTGTGAAACAAATTACCCCCAGTATATAGTGGCATAAATCCAACAGCCATTTTATTTTGCTCGTTATTTTATTGGTCAAGAAATTAGGAAGTGCTCAGTTGGATAGTTCTTGCTTAGGGTCTCTTATGCATCTACAATCAGATATCAGCAGGTTGCAAACATCTGGAGCTCAGCTGGGCTATAGGTTCAGTGTGAGTGTTCATGTGGCTGGCAGTTGACACTGGCTGTTGGCTGGATGCTCAGCTAAAGCTGTCACCCTAAGCATCTGCAAACATATCGCCTCCCTAGCACGGCGGTCTCAGGATGGTTGGCCGTCTTACATGCCAGCTGGTTGCCTCTAGAACCAGTTACCCTAGAATACCAGGCGGAAGTGGCACAGCCTTTCCTAATCTAGCCTTGGAAGTCACATAGCATCACTTCTGCTATACCCTGTTGGTCAGAGGAAGCATGTGCTCACTCAGAATCAAGAGGAGCATAGACTCCACTTTTGGTGGGAGAAGTATTAAAAAGAATTTGGGGCTTGTGTGTGTGTGTGTGTGTGTGTGTGTGAGGAAATCTCACTCTGTCTCCCAAGCTGGACTGCAATGGCTCAATCTTGGTTCACTGCAACCTCTACCTCCCAGGTTCAAGCGATTCTCCTGCCTTAGCCTCCCAAGTAGCTGAGATTATAGGCATCTGCCACCATGCCCAGCTAATTTTTGTATTTTTAGTAGATACAGGGTTTTACCATGTTGGCCAGGCTGGTCTCAAACTTCTGACCTCAAGCGATCCACCCGCTTCGGCCTCCCAAAGTGCTGGGATTACAGGCATAAGCCACCACGCCTGGCCTTTTCTTTTTTTTAAAACAAACAACAACAACAACAACAAGAAAACAAAAACAAAACCCCACTATAACCTTGTGGTCCGTGGAATACTTTAGGCTTGGCCCAAGTCCCGTGACTGGAGCTGTCTGGTGGTGACTGCTTAGGTGAATAGGATAATGCACAGGGCCAGTGAGACCCCCACACCCTGGTACTCCCTTTCCTGGAGAGAGTACCTTTTCTCCCCTCCTTCCTCGACTTCTACAGATTTTACGCTGAAAATGTCCTTTGCAAATAGCTTTAGGATACGGGTCATTGCATAGGTGATGGGGCCCCCAGAATGAAGCAGGCCCCATGGCCTCCCCCAGGATTGCAAGCAGGAAGGAAGGAAATATTTAATGAGCACTTATTGTATCCCCATATGGAAAGAAGTCTGTATTGTATTCCAGTACATATTGCTGATGAAGTTCATTTTTTCCCTCATACCATTTCTAAGGAAGAGATTTTATTGTCATCCTTCTTTTACAGATCAGAAAATGAAGGTTCCGGGGTTTAAGTGGCTTCCCCAAGGTGGTATGGTGGGTGACAGACCCGTGGTTCAAACCACTCGTGCCACCTGCCCTGGGACACACCGGAGGCAGAAGCAGCAGCTTCACATGCCCTCCCAGCTGCCCATCTCATCCTGCTCCCTGCTTGCTCCCTCCACCCAAGGCCCGAACTTACCCACTCACCTCCCCACCAGAAATGACTTGTTGTGTTCCCAGTTCTGTGACTCTAAGCTGATATCCCCTCAGGAGAAAGCTTCCACCCAGGTGCTGGTGACTGATGACAAAGATCCCCTCATGAATCAGCCCATTACATGGGCAGCCACAGATTCTCCCTGCTCCCCATCAACAACTGGGGGCTTCTGTGTGCCCTCCCCTTTATTCCAGCAGATGCTGTGACCCACAGAAGGTGGTGGAGGTACTGTGCCGTTTTCCAGGCCCAGGCCTTAAAAACCTGGCAACTTCTACCTCCTGTTTCTTGAAATGGTGTCTCTGGGGACCCTGAGCCCCTCAGTCAGAAGTCTGGCTGAGTAGCCATGCTGGAGAGGTA